ATACAAATTCCCTAAATCCATTTCATTCCTGCAAATCAATTGAAAGCTTATTTTTGAATGAGCACTTCAGAAAAGAGAGATTTTATAAGTTATAACATGAGTTATATTCTTTGATAACAACTTTATTGACATTGAAGCATTTCAAACAAACCCATGAGAATAAGAGGGGAGTGTCACCTCCACCATGGTTTGAACTTTGAAGTGGTCAATAACCACTTTGCATCCTCTACTATTGCACACTTGACATATTTGGTCATATTTTGATAGCACCTCACCCAAATATGAGGTGCTATCAAAATAGGACCAAATATGTCAAGTGTGTAAACTATCGAAACCAAAAACTACAATTCTTACCGGCATTTCTAATCGATTCTTTTTAATTAATTTATGTGTATGGGTTGTACTCATAAAAATGTCTATATATTAGTTAACTAGAAGAATACTTGCACAATGCAACAAAACATATTTTTATTTTAATGTTTCGTTTTATTTTTTGTCTCTATTGATATAATACGCTTTATATGGTTCCAATAAAGATAATGTTTTTACTTTTGAATAAAAATAAATTTGAAGATATCATAAAATTTTGAAAAAATATATCGATATTAATATTAAATTAACTATTTAAAAGCTCTCGTTTTTTTGTACAATTTCTTTAATTTAATTTTTAATGATAATTTAGTTTATTCCTAATAATAAAGTAATTTATTTTTGGTTTAACAATATAATTTTTATAAAGATAATGATTCTGTTAGAACTCATTGATTATCTCAATTATATTTTAGATTTTTTATATTTAAAAAGATATATTTATCCTGTATTTGATTATGTTTATCTGCAGTTAGTTATACGAATTCAAAAATGGAACTTTAATAAGTTGTAGTAATTTTAATTTTAAGTAATCTATACTATATTATAAAACATTTGATAAAAACTCTTAAAAATCGTTTTTTATGCATAAAGTACTGTTTGTTGATGTATGTGATAACCAGATCCTGGTTATTACCCAAGGTAAATTTATACGTGAATATTTGACTAAATGATTTTCGTGATAGCCTGATAATTTGTTACATGTTGGTATGTGAATTTGTGTATTATTTGAATACATGGATATGTGTATATATATATTTGTGCGATATAAATATATATATATATGTATATATGGGTGAGTATATATATATATATATATATATATATATGTGGGTGGTGTAGGATGTACCTACGTGGATGTATATATGCATGCATATGTGTGCATGAATATGTGTTAGGATTGATTTTGGTTTAGTGTGAGGTGGCAAGGAGGAGCCGACCTTCCCATTTTGGGAAAATATAAAAGGGACTCTTCCCCCCTTCATTTGAACTTCCTTGCCATTTTTATGAAAATTKAGAGTTGAGAGAGAGTTGTCCGGTTAAGCTTTAAGAAGTGATTTCAAGTGTTGAGGATTCAAGTAGATTTCAAGTGCTGATTTCAAAAGTCTGATTTCAAGAGTTTTGGATTCAAAAGTTTTTAAGGTGAGTGGCTTCTAAATCTTTTGCATAAAAATTTATTACTGATTTTATTAGTATGCTTCGTATTTTTATCCTTAAAATGGAACTTTGATTATATTGTCTAAGTGTTTATCCGGACAAAGTTTGACCGAATGAGGGTTTAAACCGGATAAGCCTTGAGAGGTTTATGTTGGGAGGTTTAACTTGAGAGGTTTATTGAGAGGTTTATGTTG